TCCAGGGACCCTGAACCCCAGCTTGGCGGCAAGTCAGGGTGGGTGTTGCTGCTGCCGGGAGGGGCAGCCCAGCCCAGGCAGGGTGGGCCTGAGCGCCCGCATCTCCTGCCTCTTGCCTCTCCCGCCCGGGCACCCCACAGAGCGGCCCCTCGGTGGCAGCGCAGGACAGGGGCCGGGGACCTGTGGGTCCGGGTGGCCCCTGCACGAGCGGGGACGCGGAGGGCAGTGGGCCTGTTGCTGTGGCCACAGGGAGCCAGAGCACAGAGGCAAGGTCATGCTCGCGCCGGCACTGGGCAGCCTGGGTCAGAGCCCCGGTCTGGCCGAGCGCTCCAGGACGGGGGCGCGGGGCGCCCGCTGGTGCGTGGCTGGGGCTCGGTGGGCGCTGCGTCCTGTGAGGACCGCGCCCAGGCGTGGGCCGGGGCAGGACGGTCACTGAGGCGACGCCGGTCCTGTGGGCGGAGGGCTCCCCTGCTACATGACGGCCGTAGCCGTGACCCTGAGGCTGGGGGGGCGCCCCCTCCCCTGCGGTCTGTCAGGTGCATTGCAATGCAGATTCAGAAACGGGGCGGGCGGGGTGCGTGGGCTGACCGTGTCCCCACAGTACTCGCGGCGGGAGCAGGAGGAGGAAGGCCGCAAGCGGTACGAGGCGCAGAAGCTGGAGCGCATGGAGACCCGGTGGAGGAACGGGGACGTCGTCCAGCCCGCCCTGAACCCAGGTGGGAGCTCGGGGCGGGGCTGCGGTGCAGGGGCGCCCCGCCCGGGGCAGCCGGCTCAGGAATCCCCCCGAACCCCACAGAGAAGGTTAAGGGGCCATGTCCCCGCAGAGGGGCCTCTGCCCGGGCTCCCCCTCGGGCTCAGCTGTGGTCAGGCAGGGCGCTGGTGCAGCCCCGGGGGCCCGCAGGCCGCCCAGTCCTCTGTGGCCACACGACCTCGGGGAGCCGCTCGGTGGCCCGCAGCTGCCTCGGCCCTCGGCAGCGGGGGACCTGCCCAGGTGACCTTGCCCAACGCCGCCCGTGTCCTGGGTGACGCACTGGGCCCGTCCCTGCGCTGGGCCTGGGAGGAAGCCCCTCCGCCTTCCGGGGCCGGGGCGCCCCTGTGGCTGGGCTTGGCGGCTGGTCCTGGCGAGCGGCGTTTGGGGGTGGCGGCGGCCAGTGTGTGCTCAGCTGCTGTAGGGGTCCCCGCGTCCCCGCGGGAGCAGCTGGCCCTGACAGTGCCCTGGGCCCGGCCCACCCTGCCGGCCCTGCAGAACCGGAGCCAGCTCAGCCGCCTCGCTGTTGCCTGGCAACCCCTGGCCCAGCGTCACCCTGCCGCTGCCTTCTCAGTTCTTTGAAGCCGGCATTTTGCCTTGTCTTCTCCCTCTGACAAGAGAAAATGCAGTCGCCGAGAGGCTTTGGTCCTCAGCTGCCGTGGTGCGGGCTGGCCGTCCGTTGGGTCTGTGGCTAGACGGTCAGCCCTCCTCGGCCACACCGCTGCTGCCCCCGCGCGTGGGCTTCAGGCGGTTGCCGGCAAGTCTGATCGCCCGTGACAGTCGGCAGGCCGGGAGCCGGTGCCCGGCCACGTGGGGCTGCTCCCGCGCGGGGACCGCCCCCTCGGTGCCTCAGTTTCCCCAGCTGCGGCACCTGGCCGGCTCCCCCAGCCTTTTGCAGACTTCAGGCGCCGTGCCCGGCCGGTGGACGCCTGGTGGCCCTGAGCCCGGTGTCCCGGGCCCTGGCTTGGTTGAGCTCAGTGTCCTGTTGAGTCCAACTTGACTGTTGCTAATGGGGCTCGGGGTCACCCCCTCCGACCAGAGCTCGCGCCTCTCGGCCAGGGACGCCAGGCTCGCCAGGTGCTTGGTGGCTGCACCCCTGCCCCCAGCAGACGGCCCTGAGCCGCCGCCAGGACTGGCAGACAGCGCTGCGTGAGAAGCGAACACTGCCGCCGCCCCAGCTTTGAGACCCTCAGGCAGCCACGTGGCGGAGCTCTGGGCCACGCCGGCAGTGTCCAGGCGCCGCTGACGCCGGCGTGAGCCCCAGCACGGCCTCTGGGTCAGGCCCCTCCCTGTTCGCCAGCCCTGCACGGAGCATTATGTGCCCGGCCCGCGTGCCAGGGCCTTCCTCACGGGGACAGCCCCGGGCGACTCGCGCGGAGCGTGGGCTGTCCCAGGCGGGACCGTGGGTGTCGCCCTGCCTGGAGGTTTCGGGAAGGCGCCGTGTGAGCGGAGTGGGCCGCCCAGGTCTGCCTGCAAGACCCGCAGAGTTGCCGGCACCGTAGGGAGGGGCGTCGGCCAGCGCTTCTCAGCCGCCTGCAGGGCTCCACGTCGCCTGCCCCGCCAGGCCCCGTGGCCTGTCGCCGTGGCCACGCCCTCAGCCCGTCACCTCCCTGCGGGGTTAACGCCTCCACGCTCTGCCCCCTTCCCCAAAGAGCTGGGGGCGGGCAGGCGGGCAGGCGGGGCTCCCCTCCCCTCTCTGCTCGTCTTCTTGCAATGAGCCTTTGCTCCTCTCTAGACCTCATAACTGGCGCTGTGCCCCGGGCCGGGAGCCCACTGCAGTCCCGGGCCGTGGGGCCGGTGTCCAGGACACGGAGCCGCAGTGCCCACTACCAGTGTTAAAGCTCTCCAGAGTCACCATGCACTGCCCAACTGTGCCAGGAGGCCACTGGGGGTGGAGGTCAAGTGGGGGCCCTCGAGGACTCACCCCAAACCCGGGCTCGACCAGGCGCGCGTGCTGCCTGGGCCCGCAGGCCTGGCGTGTGGAGGGGCCCTGGCGGCCGGCACCTGCCCTGACACGGTGGCTGCCAGTCTTTGAAAGCCTTCCCCTTCTCCGGGAGCTGTTGGCAGACCCGGTTCCAGAGAATTCCCTGTGACCGCGACTGCGCTGCCCGCGGGGCTCGCGTGAGTCTGACTTCTGCCCTTTGCGATTCCAGAGCCCAACACGGTCAGCTACAGCCAGTCCAGCCTGATCCACCTGGTGGGGCCATCCGACTGCACCCTGCACGGCTTCGTGCACGGAGGTAGGTGCTCCGGCCCCTGCTCCGCCCACCCCGGAGGCCCGGCGGCCCGCAGGCTGCATGAAAACGACCAAGGCGCCCTCCGCATAGGGTCTGAGGTGGAGGGTTCGAGACTGCCACAGTGTGACCCTGGAGCCAAGAGTTAACAGTCACTGCCGCTGGCTTTGCTCAGACCCCCACTCGTGCAGGCCTTGGGGTTCCTCCCTGCAGGAGCAGGGCCGCCCAGGGGCTGGCTCCAGGCTCAGGCGGGCTTTACCTACGACAGGGCGCTGGCTTCAGGGGACAGTGAGTGGCACCAGGGCGCTGGCTTCAGGGGACAGTGAGTGGCACCAGGGC